TGCAGCTCCGCTGGTCCGAGGGCAGCACCGCAGCTGCAGCCGCGGCGCGGTGGGGGGGTAGGGCTGGAGCCCCGCCCCTAGGGAGGGGTCGTTCGCAGGTGAGGCGGGCGGGCGGTAGGGGGTATAGGCCCAGGCACCTGGGTCCTCTTCGGGGAATGGATTGGAGGCCGGACGCCATGAGATCCTGGAGGGGGGTGCTGATAGGGGTTTGGACGTCTGCCGGGGAGGGGTTGTGCATGGTGCCTGAGCCTTGGGTGGGTGCACTGGGGCCAGGATTCCGGAGGATGCACTGAGGCCCGGGGCTCGGGACCCCGATAAATTCATCAGGGATCATCTGGGTGTCACCCTACACCCACGTTCCTCCGGATCTTCCGCTCCTTCGCCCCTCGATCCCGCTCGCTGCCAGCCCGGCGGCGGGCGAAGCAATCGAGCAGCAAAAGAGGAAGCGGTTTGAGTTGTCAATCGCCTGAGAGCAGAGCGGGGTGCAGCGGCCTCTTCGACGTGAAGCCCCGCCCGCTGCGCTGCGCTCGCAGCCCCCCACCCCATGGGACGGCTACAGAGCCCGCCCCCTCCGGTCAAAGTGCGGTCTTCCGGTCTGAAAGGCAGAAAGCCCCGACTTTGGGTGGTGTTTGCATGCCCCACCCAGTCGGGGTGGAGGCCTAGCGGACGCGCTGGCTTTGAAGACCCTTTCCTGGTCAGCACCTGCTTACTGTTACTGCCCTGGTCCCCTCTAGATCCTGTCCCTAGGTCCCTGGTCCCACAAGATGCTGGAGCGGGGCGCTGAGCCCCAGGCTGGGGGCACTGAACCGAGTCCCAGTGACAAGGAACCAGTCACCAAAGGAGGTGAGAACATCCCCACCCGTGGGTGGGGTATCCCTGGGAGTGGGGGTGCCCTGAAAGAACCACATTCTGGTGGGGGGGGGACTCCAAGGATTCCCCAGAATTCAACAGTGGCCCTGAGGCCTTAGTGACTGATCAGGTGCAGGAGAGGCTAGGGGATTCCAGGGTGGGTGGGTGGGGACTACCATATTAAAATGGCACCGAGGGAACGCTTTATAGTTTGAGGACTCTTAGGACACCCTTGTGTGATATTGGGGGAATCGCAGTGGGGTGGATGCTTGAGGGCCCCAAATACATTTTGTGGGAGCCTTGGCTCCTTTCTGGAGGCTACCAGCCCTCCTTTCCCCCAGCTCCCCTCCAGGGCCAGTCGTCGCAGAAGCCCAGCCAGCCTGCTCCGGGGCCTGCTGCCCGCTCCGGGGTCCCTCCCCGCCCCCGCCGGCGGCCCCCGCCGCAGCGCCCGCACCGCTGCCCCGACTGTGACAAGGCCTTCTCCTATCCATCCAAGCTGGCCACGCACAGGCTGGCACACGGCGGCGCCCGCCCGCACCCGTGCCCCGACTGCCCCAAGGCCTTCTCCTACCCGTCCAAGCTGGCAGCCCACCGTCTCACGCACAGCGGCGCGCGCCCGCACCTGTGCCCTCACTGCCCCAAGGCCTTTGGCCATCGCTCCAAGCTGGCGGCTCACCTCTGGACGCATGCGCCAGCTCGCCCCTACCCGTGCCCCGACTGCCCCAAGTCCTTCTGCTACCCGTCCAAGCTGGCGGCCCACCGCCACACGCACCACGCCACCGACGCCCGCCCCTATCCCTGCCCACACTGTCCCAAGGCTTTCTCGTTCCCCTCCAAGCTGGCCGCCCACCGCCTGTGTCACGACCCCCCCGCCGCGCCGGGCGGCCAGGCCACTGCCCGCCACCGCTGCTCCAGCTGCAGCCAGGCCTTCGGACAGCGACGCCTCCTGCTCCTTCACCAACGCTGCCACCAGGTGGAGGGCCAGGGGGAGCGCGAGTGAAGGGCCAGCCCTGCCCGATTCCCCGTTCTTCGCGGAGAGGTGGGGATGAAGCGAGGCCTGCTGGCCCGGCCGCAGGCGAGGAGGGAGATCGGCCTAATTGGAACTTGGAAGACAAACTTTCCCTGCTCTGGGGAGAGGGGCGTGTCGCCACAATAGTGCGTGCCGGGCCCAGAACCATGGGTTGGGGTTCAATTGCACTCCCATTTCTGACAGCTGGGGTGAACTAGCCAGGGTGGGCCGTGGGGTAGTGAGGGCTACCGGATGTTGACGTTGCAGCCACCTGGCTCAGAGGGAGAAATTTCTCCCTCCGTGCGCAAGGCCTGGGTTCGGAGCCCAGGTGGTGCCCCAGGTGTGCGGTCGTGGAGCCTTGCACGCTGCTATGATGCTGAACAGGTTCCAGGTGAAGCAGTCAGGGAGGAAAGGTTTGATGACCGACTTCCAAGAACCAGCCAGTACCACCTTAGGGGTCACACCGTGAGCTGCAGCCCTTGCTGGGGGTGGTGCTGGGCTGGCAGTGCTTTGTCTGCCAGGGTGGCTGTTGACAATAAAGTGACGAGGCACCTGCAGCGACTTCCATTCCAGGGACTTCACCTGGAGAAACTAGACCCTGGGAGAGGGAGGTGCAGACCACCCAGGTGCCTATCAAGGGGAAGGAGTCGCAGCTGAACAAAATAAGGAGCCTCAGTGACACAGAGCTCACGTGTCTGGCTCATTAAAAGGTGGGTGGCTCGAACACACGGGCAGGGGAATAGCTAGACCAGGCGTCCTCAAACTACGGCCTGCGGGCCACATGTGGCCTGCCATGTGTTTTTGCCCCATTTTTTGGTTCAAAATAAGGTATGTGCAGTGTGCAAAGGAATTTGTTCATAGTTGTTTTTAAAGTATAGTTGGCCCTCCTATGGGTCTGTGGGACAGTGAACTGGCCCCATTTTAAAAGTTTGAGGACCTTTGAACTAGGCAATGGGCTTCCCTAGAAGCTCACTCACTGCCATGGAGTTGGCGCCAAGAGCCGCCTGCGAGTTTCCCTGACGGTAACTGTTGGGAGTTGAGAGCCTCGTCTTTGTTTGGAACAGCAGCTGGTGATTCCAAACTGCTGACCTTGCAGTTAGCAGCCCAATATGAAACCAGCACCCTAGCAGAGCCCTGGGAGTTACAGACCTGGATACCCTACGGGGTAGTTTTACTGTCCTCCAGCATCCACAAGGAGCCCTGGTGGCGTGGTAGGTTACGAACTGGGCTGCTGACCATGTCAGCAGTTCGAACCTACCAGCTGTGTTGTGGGGTAGAGGCAGCTTTCTGCTCCTGGAAAGATTGTTTCAGAAACCCACAGGGGCAGTTCTTAATTAAGAAATAAATAAGCTCACGCCCATTGAGTTGATTCTGACTCATAGTGGCCCTACAGGACAAAACAGAACTGACCCTGTGGACTTTCAAGATTATCTTTATAGTTGTAGAAAGCCTCATCTTTCTCCACAGGAGACTGGTGGGTTTGAACTGCTGACCTTGTGCTTAGCAGCCTAGGCCCCATTAGGACTCCTTGGCAGGGCAGTTCTACCCTGTCCTACAGGGTCACTGTGAGTTAAGGACGGGATGACAGTGGGTTGGGAGCACTTGTCCAAGTCCACACTGACTCAGTGGTGCCGGGCTTGGTAGTATCTGTGAAAATCTAAGCCCCCCCCCCCAAGTCAGCGGTTCTCAACCTGTGGGTCTCGACCCCTTTGGAGGGTCGAACGACCCTTTCACAGGGGTCACCCAATTCATAACAGTAGCAAAAGGACAGTGGTGATGAAGTGGCAGTGAAAATCCTTTGACGGTTGGGGGTCACCACCATGCGGAACTGTCTCAAAGGGCCGCAGCATTGGGAAGGTTGAAGTTTTTCATGAAAGCCTTGGGAGCTAGGCAGTCCTGGCTCTGCGTCCCCACGGTGGCCCAGCCCTTCCCCTCTCGGATGGCACTGCCTTCTCAGCTCCCTTGTGGAGGCCATGCAGTCAGGACCAGACTGCTCTCCGGTCCAAGACAGGGACACCCAGCGCCTGCACAGGGCACAGCAGTGCCCGCTCGGTGGTGGCAAGTACAGATGTACAGTAATGAAGGCCATTGTGAAGAACAAACATGGTCAGCCAGTGTTGTCGAATCAGGCAAGGCGCCCAGTGACCCTCTGGGAGAGAAAAGAACCCTGGGGGCCCCGTGATGGTCATTCTTTAGGGGAGCAGGCTGTCTCATGTCCCTCCCACGGGGGCTGGTGACCTCCAACCAGACTGTGGTCAGCAGCCCAGCCCCTGGCCCACAGCCCCAGGGGAGCAAAGCGCAACCAGGAGACGGAGAGCTGTGGGAAGCGCCACAGCAAGTCTTTATTAAACTCACCGAGTTGTGTGTGTGTGTGTGTGTGTGTGTGTGTGTGTGTGTGTGTGTGTGTGTGTGTGTGTGTGTGCGCGCGCGCGCGCGCATCCTTCAGGCCTGCGGCACCACCCCATATAGCTGGTGGGGAAGTAGCTTCTGTTTCTCGTTGCAGCTGTAGATCCATCGGGGACGGACAAAGGCCAGGGAGGGGTTGTCCATCAGGGCCTGCAAGGCAGGGTGTGTGCGCCATTGTGGCTGTGGGAGCCATGGGAGGGTGGGGCAGTGGAGGCATCTTGGGCTGTCCCTCCCCTGCCCCTCAGAGACTTACCTCCTCAAAGCTGGGGTCCCATTCCTGGGCAGTGATCACAAACTGGACCCGGTCACTCATGTAGTCCTCCAACTCCCTGGTGGAGAGAAGCAGTCGAGGGGACATCAGGGGCCCAGTGCCCTGTCCACCGGTTCCCCTGGTCACTGCGCCCCACCTCAGTCCTCTGGGACCCTCCCACAGAGCAGAGCTCCCTGGCCTAGGCCCTTGGCTCCTCCCTCCTACCACTCCCACGGGGACACTGACCCATTGAAGGCTGTGACATATCGGATGAGCCTCCGCCGCTCGTCCCCAGGGAAGTCCCCATACAGGAAGAAGTGTTTGCCCTGGAAGAAGTCTGCAAGAGGGGTGGGGGTGGGGGACACGTCTCAGGTCACCAAAGGCCCAAGGCTTGCAGGCCAGAGAAGCTGGTGCTGTGTGTGTGTGTGGGGGGGGGGGGGGGCACCCGATACCTGGTCCAGCCCCCACCAGAGCCTGCTAGGGGGATTTCCTTTGGTTTCAATGGGAAAAGACACAACTATTGCTGCCGCGTGCCCGTTCCAGGAGGGAAACTCGGCCAGGCTACCGATGGATGGTGGGAACTTGGGAGCTACAGGCCGCCTCGTCCGTCCCTCAACATTTCCATCCAGCCCCTGGGAAGGCTCTCTGGTCTGTGAGGTCACATGTTTCAGGCCATCTATCCGCTCAGCCCCTCTCGATGGGCTGAATCATTACCCCCGCCCCCCCCCCTCCACAAAGAAGAGATGCATGAAATCCCAGCCTCGGTGCCTAGAAACAACCCCACTGGGAAGGAGGGTGAGCTGATGGGAACCAGCTGGAAGGACCTAATTCGCATCACTTCCGAGTTGTAGCAGAGTAAGATAGACAGATAGACAGACAGGCGCGCGCGTGCACGCACGCGCGCGCACACACAGAGAAGGACGAGACTAACGAGGTCACACAGACACAAGGTAAAATGACAGGGTGGCCCCCCTCAATCTGGCTGCTGACATCTCTGTCCTTTAAAGCTTCCCACTTGCAATATGAGGGCCTTCAAAGAGGTGGTGGGAAAATCCCACCACCCTTTCATTCCACTCTGGAAACTCTCAGAAGCCCCTGTATTTGCTGGGATGGGGGTGCTGGGGCAGGGAGTGGGAGGTGGGGACAGGGGAGGCTGAGGATACAGGAGTAAGCTGGGAACGCAGACGGAGGAGGTGGGGGGCGGGGGAATGCACCACAGCTGAACACACAGAGGGACAAATCCCACTTGAGGGGGAGGCATTTCTGACCTGGGAGCTCGGGGATGGGCAGGGTGGGGGACTCGGGCTGATCCTCCTTGTCCGTGTTCTCATCCGTGGAGCCCGCATATGGGTCCTCGCCATTCTCCGCCTGGCCTGGGGGCTGCCTCCGTTCCCTCTGCTCGGCCACCCTGGGGAAATAGTGGGGCAGGGGGTCAGCATACAGACCCCTAGATGCAAGCCCCGAGCCATCTGAACCCCCACCCAGGCCACCCCTACCTTCTCAGCTCATCCTCAGTGTCCCCAGAATCTTCTGCCCCATTGTCCTGTCCTTCTGCAAGGGGAGGCTTAGTTAACACCAGGCCCAGCCCCCTCCTCCCTCAGACCCAGGAGTCCAGGCCCCCAGCACCTCCTCCCTCAGACCCCGGAGTCTAGGCCCCAAGCCACTCCTCCCTCAGACCCAGGAGTCCAGGCCCCCAGCACCTCCTCCCTCAGACCCAAGAGTCCAGGCCCCCAGCCCCCTCCTCTCTCAGACCCAGGAGTCTAGGCCCCCAGTCCCTCCTCACTCAGTCGCTAACCTGACTGGTCCCCCTCGGAGTCTGTATACTCCTGGGTCCCTGGAGTGGGTGGTTTAGTGTCTTCAGGTGTTAGGGACCTCTGAGGTGAGCTGGGTCCTGCTGTCTGAGGGGGCTTGGTTTTGGTCTGGGGGCCCTAGGGAGTGGGGGGCAGGAGTGAGAAGTGGAGTGCCACAGCTGGTGCGCCCCACCTCCCCCAGCACCCTCCCTGCCCATAGGTGCTAGGTGGCAACACACCTTCTGAGGAAGCTTGGGGGCGTCATCTCCAGTGCCACCACCTTGAGGGTCGCCCTCCTCGTCCTCGCTGCTGGAGCCTGGCCCCGCCATGAGGTACCTGGGGGAGAGCCAGGCCTCAGACACACAGACACCCCACTGCGGCCTCAGGGGGTGCAGCAGCCCCAGCGGCTCTGAGCTGCTTAGCCCAGGTACACGTGTGCACTGTGCTTCCTGGGCCGCCAGGCCTGTGGACCCGACAGAGCCAGCTTCTTTCAGAGCCGACCGCCCACTTTCCACCCAGCTCGGGCCTCGGTGCCTCTCCTCTGGACCAAGGCTCAGTGCGCCCTTCGGTGCACAGCTCTGGTCCCAGCAGGGCTGCCTCCCTCGGCCTCTGTCCAGCCAGGAAAAGCCCTCCTCCTGGAAGACTCCAACCCCCCAGGCCTGCGGTGCTGCCTGCTCTGTAACCAGGCCACTCTCATCTCAGTGAGACCCTTCGTGGGCAGGGCCCAGGCCACCTGGCCAAGCATTGCACCCCTTCCCCACCCCAGCCACGGCCTTCACAGCATCCACATGAGCCACCCCAGCTGAGCTCCCCTCAGGAGCAAGGCTCCCTGGAGCCCTGGTGCTGCCCGACGGGGGAGGGACGGGGGGAAGGGAGGGCAGAGGTGTGCGTGCCCATGCCACACAGAGTGGTGCAGCCTCACCTCTGATAGGGCAACCGCCGGCGCATGCGGTGACAGTCCAGCACCCACTCCTTCCGCACGATCCGGCCACCTAGGCCTAGGACCTGGCTGTATTTGGGGGTGTTGGCAAAGGCGCAGCTGGCGGGAAGCAGAATGGAGGGGTGTCAGTCAGATGGATACGGGGGGAAGGGGAGACAGGGAGGGCAGAGGGGGAAACAGACAGGTGGATAAGTAGAGGCAGGAAGCGATAGCACTCGGGGCGAGACTGGCAGAGGTGAGAGCGCACCAGGGCAGGGCAGGGCAGAGCAGGGCGGCAGGGACAGGGCAATGGGAGCGGCCTGGGGGACAGGTGCAGCTCACATGAGGTGGGTGCTGTCTGGGGTCCAGTCCGGCCGGTACTTGGCCCCCAGCTCTAGGGCCTTGTCCCGGAGCTCCGAGCGGAAGGGGTTCTGGAAGCCGCTCAGCACCACCACCACCCCCTGAAGGATCCTGCCCAGTTCCGGGGGGCCAGGCTGGGGCGCCTTGGGCTTGGAGCCTCCTCCTGAGGGCTTGCCTGTCCCTGTCCCGCGTGCTGGCGCAGGGGCTGAGTGGGGGGCTGGGGTCCGGGGGGAGGCTGCCAATGGAGAAGCCAAAGAAGGGAGGTTCTATTCATGCCAGTCAGCCTGGGACGTCTCAGCCTCCTGGCGCCCACCCAGCCCTGAGCATGTACTTCCTTCAGAATCCAGGAGTCCATGCCCCCAGACCCTTTCCCCCACCAGAACCCAGGGGTACAGGTTTCCAACTTCCTCCTCCCTCAGGACTCCGGAGTCTAGGCCCCAGCCCGTCCCTCCCGAGGATCCAGCGCAGGCCCCAACCCCTGGCGTGCTCACGTCTGGGTCTCTTGAGGGCAGGTGGTGAGGTTTGGGATGTTGGCTTGCCGGGGGTCTTCCGTTCTTCTTGGTTCAAATCCAACTTCCGCTTCCCCTTGGGGGACTCCTGAGGCAGAGGGGAGGGGAGGGGAGAGGACAGACGGTGAGCTTTTTCCAGCCTCTCTCCGCTCACTCTCCTGCCCCCGAGGTCTGCGGTGCTCACCTTGGGGGTGCTGCCCACAGCCTTGGAGGCCGGGGGCGCTGAGGGGGCATCGGCAGTGCTGGAGGCCTGGAGTGTGGCAGCTGCATAGCTGGGTCCTGCCTGGTCACTAGCTGTGGCTAGAGACGGGGGCGAGGGGCTAGGCATTGAGGCCTTTTGGCTCCTGCCTAAGGGGCATCCAGTACGACCTGCTCCCAGGACGATGCTCTCAGTCCCCTCCTCCCTCGGGCCCAGCCAGGGTCTCCGGCACTCACCGGGCGGCGTCCTGCTGACCCGGCTGAAGAAGAGGGCCCCTGGCCTCAGGGCGCTGCTGCTCTCATCCTCATCCTTCACGCGGAACTGCCCGAGTTTGGTCACCTTCTGGGGCCCACAGGGTCAGCGCAACGGGTGGGGGTGAGGGTGGGGAGGACAGGCTCGGGAGGGGTGGTTGGGGGGGGTGTTGGGTTAGAGTTTACCTGGGATGGGGCCTCTGCCTCATCTTTGTCTGGGGGGCTGTGAAGCCGGACAAAGCTCAGACCATAGGGGGAGTCCTGGGAAAGGAGGGGTAGGTGTCAGGGGCTCCCGGCAGGGGGCCCAGGGCCGAGTTCCTTTCAGGAGGAGAATGCCCTTTTTGGCTCTTTCCTTCTCTGGACACACAGGCTGGGGACTCCCGGAGGCCCTGGGGACAGTGGCTCCTCTGGCTGAGGGCCGGCTCTTTGTGAAGAATCTGTAGACACCAGCTTCCCGACCCTCACAGCAGTGGGCCGAGGAGTCTGGGTGTCCCTGTGAGGCCACTCCCACTCCTACTGTGTCCAGCCTGCCTGGCCCAGTGTCCCAAGGGCTCCAGGCTGGGGGCAGACCCCAGAAGGAAAGAGGCTGGGTCCTGGAGGGCCTTCTGAGAGAAGCCAGGGGGCTACTTGCCACCCACTCAGGCCGGTTCAGGCACAAGTACCACCGCTAACTGGGGACCACGTCTACTGCGCAGGGCATCACATACCCCAGTCTCGCTGTCACCTTGGTGAAAGGGAGCCCAGGACTGTTAAGTCCCTTGCCTAAGACCACCCAGCTAAGATGTGGTGTCATCAGGATCTGCACCCGGAACCCCTAGGCCGCCTCCCCTGGGATTCTGCAGGTCTGCCTTCCCGGACTCCCTGACACAACCAATGGGGCCCCATTGCATGTCATACACCGTAAGTCTATCTCGGGGACCATGGGACTGGGTCTGCCCGATTACCCCCTTGGCTCTCTCCTCCCCAGAGCCCTGGCGTCGGTGACCCCAGCCCCAGCTGACGCACCTTGCTGTAGGGCTGGCTGCAGACAATTTTGATGCGGTCCCAGCGCTTCTCGGCAGTTGCCCGGACCAACTTGTCAGGCCCGAAGAAGCGGACGCGGTTGGGGTTGGAGCCACTGCGGCTCTCCGAGGGGGACATGAAGGAAGAGGTGACCAGCAGGACCTGGTGAGGAAAGACGCTGGGGCTGGCTGCTTCCGGCAAGCCCTGCCAGGGGTCCGAGGGCTGCCCTGCAGCCAGGGAGCCCTGGGAATCTAGCACCTCCTCCGTGGGAATGTCTCCTAGTCCTCGCCGCCGCCACACGATCCCCACCTTATAAGCTGAGGGGCACTGAGACTGTCAATCTCTACGGAAGCGGAGCTGCGGGGTTGGGACTATGTCCTGTGGTTGGCAGCCCAGCGCCTAACCTACTGCGCCACCAGGGGTCCTTGACACGGGCGCGGAGGGATCCTTCTAACGTCCAGATCCGAGCAGTCCTTCCCTACCTGTCTCAGGCAGCGCGGAGGAGGCTACACGGCTACGCTGAGAGCCACAAACCGGAGGCAGGATATCGAGGCCCCTTTTAGAAACACGGCGGAGGGTGGGGACCCCAGAGGATGACCGGAAGCCTGAAAGACGGCAGCTCGGGGGACAGGCGGCAACGTCTCTCCGCTTGCTCTGGGCCCCGCTCCGAGTTGGCCCTGACTGTGCTGCTCCCAGGGTGCAGTGGACCACTCTGAGCTGCCAACAGCACGGTCGGCGGTTCCCACCCAGCAGCCACTCCGTAGAAGGCAGAGGAGGCTGTCTGCTCCCAGGACGATGTGCAGTCTTGGAAACCCACGGGGCAGTTCCGCTCCGCCCAGGATGGGGTGGGTTTGAGCTGCTCCCCGCGGCTCTCCCAGCAGGGGAGCAAGCGATACTTCAATATTGAAATAGTCAGACAAGATACAGAGCGCGGCTGGTGAAGCGTTTAGAGAACTGAACGGCGACACTGACACGACTTGGAAATGACAAACTGAACAGGCACTTCTGGAAACCAGGGGAGGATGAGGGAAATCAGAGGCAACAGAGGCAAGTGCTGCTGTCAACAGGAGCCTGCAGCCGTGGGGGCAGCCTCTCCCTCTCCCTCGAGCACATGCTTGGATGGACACCTGGCTGGGCGGGACGGGGTGGACAGGAGATCGGGAGTAGACCCAGGGCCAGACCCAGGTCAGCAGGGGCCTGTGCACAGCCACGGTTCACTCTCCCTGCAATGACGCCCACGAGCGTGGGTGCTCTCAAGAGCCAAAGTTCAGCACACTTTCCCGACATAACCAAACAGCTGGAGGGCATGAGTTGCTGGGCCTGGGGGACCCGGGGGCTGGCATCACGCTGAGCACAAGACAGTGTTCCACACCAGCGGTTCTCAACCTGTGGGTCGAGACCCCTCTGGGGGTCAAACGACCCTTTCATAGGGTCCAATGGTCTTAGGAACTGAGACACCACTCCTCTATCATCTCCAGGGGTGTCCACCCACATGCAGATATGCCCACATACAAGTGCCCGGTGATAAGACTCTTACCCATGTTACACCATGCTTCAAGACAAAATTTCATTTGTAATTACAAATATATATTTCGCAATATACAATTACATATTGTTTTGTGATTAACCACAAAGCTTAATTTGTAACAATGGAAATACCAAATATACTCGTGTATAAGCCGAGTTTTTCAGCACATTTTAATGCAGTTTTGGTGCCTTGGCTGATATTTGGGTGGGCTTATACTCAAGTATGTAGGTACATCCTGCATATCAGCTATTTCATAACAGTAACAAAATTACAGTAATGAAGCAGCAGTGAAAATAATGTTATGGTGGGGGTCACCACCACATGAGGAACTGTATGAAAGGGTGGCAGCGTTAGGAAGGTGAGAACCGCTGTTCTAACCCTAACGTGGTAAGGAGCGACTGGGGCCTTGAAAGCTCGTGAGCCGTCATTGAAGGAGGACCCACTGGTCTCTCCCCACCCCAGGAAAGAATGATGGAGACAGAGAGATACATGGGAACAACTGGCCCCGGCAGGCATCAGGCTACACCACCCGGCCAGCTGACCTGATGGTGGCTAGTGACCATGCCAAACTGCTCAGAAAGGGTCCTGGGCAGAGGGGGAGAAACAGTAGACCAGAACCCAACATCAGTAAGAAGGTGAGGCTGACTGCTTGCATAGAGGCTGCTGGGACCCCTTCAGGTCAGGAACTGAACTCACCCCAGTGAAGATCCAGGGAGCAGGGGTGACCAGGACAGGACAGAGTTCAGAGGGTTAGGCAAGGCGGCAGAACAGAAGTGGGGTACGAGACAGCACACTGGGGGGCTGCAATGGACAAGCTGGGTATGAACTGCTAGAGGTAAGACCATCCGATTATAAGGATCTACATATACCCTCCTCCCTGGGGGACGGACCACAGAAAAGTGGGTGAAGGGAGACATCAGACAGCGTAAGACATGACGAACTAATAACAATTTATAAATTATCAAGGGTTCATGAGGAAGGGGGTGGCGGGGAGGAAGGGGGGAAAATGAGGAGCTGATACCAAGGGCTCAAGTAGAAAGTAAATGTTTTGAGAATGATGAGAGCAACAAATGTGCTTGAAACAATGGGTGGATGGATGGATGGATTGTGAAGAGTTGTACGAGCCCCCAATAAAATGATTAATAAAAAAGACTATGGTCTGCGGTCAGCCTTCATCTAACTCAGTACTCAACCTTCCTAATGCACGACCCTTTAATACAGTCCCTCGTGTTGTGGTGAGCCCCCAGCCACAAAATTCTGTTTTTACTGTATTTCTGTTGCTACTTCATGACTGTAACTTTGCTGCTGTTATACATCGGGCGACCCGTGAAAGGGTCGTTCCACCCCCAAAGGGGTCTCGACCCACAGGTTGAGAACCGCTGGTCTAACTCACGACAAAAAGGTTCAAAATAAAAAGGAGATACAGATCTACAGGGATCCACTGCACTGTCCAAACTGTGATGGCCTCTGAGGCGGCGGCCTGCGGGCCACTTCTCTCTGTCTCTGAAGTGTACAGATTCTGTAGTGAACTCGCTGCGGTCAGCTGGGAGCTGTCCTGAGCACCACAGAGCTGAGCGCTTCCAGGCTCTCGCCCGCCTGGTGGTCCTGGATTGGGTCTTTGTTGCCCACGGTGTTTCCGCTGCCCAACTCCTGGGAGTAGACGGCCAGGCTGTTCTTTCTTGTGTCCATCTTGGTCTGAGAACTCTGTAGAAACCACCAGGGCCGCGCCGACAAGGTGATGGACCGCCAGTCAGAGGCAGGTTCCTGCCCTGAAGGTGAGGCCCTACGACCCCGCCGCCGCTGATGACAGGGCACCTTTCACATGGGAGGACTGTGCCAGAGCAAGTCTGGTGCCTTTCTCTGAATGTCCCCGACTGCTTTAGCCCTGCTGGGGGGGGGTGTCGTCCGTCTGGCCTTGCTTGGTGGCCAGGCTCAGCAGTGGCTTCAACTACGGTCAGAGAGGTCAGTCCCTTATCCCTTGCACTCACGCTGCAGATGGGGGCCCATCTAAGTGTGCTGACATCACAGCCATTAGCCCCTGCCCTGCAGCTCCGTTTGTGAGGCCCTGGGCCCTGGTCCTAGAAGGGCATCCTCATTGGAGATATGGCCAGTAGAGAGACCCAGAAGGTTTCTTCTGGGTGCCTGGCCATCACACAAAACAGCTAGAATACAATTAATTTCTGTTCTGCCTAAGAGCCCCAGTGGCGTGGTGGCTTACTTGCTGGGCTGCACACCGAAGATCAGCAGTTCGAAACCACCAACCATTCTGTAGGAGAGAGATGAGTTACATGTCTCCCATGAAGAGCGGCAGTCTGGGAAATCCACAGGGGCAGTTCTGCCCTGACCTACAGGGTGCCTGAGTCAGCACCAACTCCATGGCCGTGCAAGTGCCCGAGTCCCCCCTAGCTGTGTGACAACCATACTGGCACTGACACGGGTCCCTCTTCTGTTCAGAAGTAAGCGTCACTGAGTGACAGGCAGGCAGGGATGCTTTGCCTGACGTGATTTAAAGTTCAAGGCTGGAGGGCCCTGGCATTGTCTAGAACCACCTAGTGACCAAGACTCAGAGTCACATGTTCAGAGTTCACCAGAGCCACTGCCTCACCAAGCGGGTCATGAAAACGCTAGGAGTAGGAGTAACCCGGACACCTTGGCTGGCCTGTACATTAAACGCACACCCCAACTGGGGTGTTTTTCCCAGCCCGCTTCTGTTACTCCCCCTGCACTCCCTCCCCCCTTGACAATGATACATTTGTGTGAATCAACATTCCGAGCCTGTAACAGTCAATGTGTTGTAGGTTCAGGCCAGCTCGCTAGCCCCTGGTGCCTGGCACACGCTGGCCAACTGCCCACATTTGAATGACTGTCTTTCTCTTGTGCTTCATGAAAATCTTTTGATTAAAAAAAAAGCTGTGTGGTAGGTTTATTTTTTACAGTGAGAGAGAGAGAGAGAGAGAGAGAGAGAGAGAAGCTACTGAGGCTGCCCATGCACAAACGCAGGCCTCATGGGACTTGGTTCCCTGGTTTGGAGGTTAAGGGCCCTGGCTTCATGGGACATCTCAGTTAAGGGACCTAATAACTTGTTGGGTGCTTCTGTTCTACCTCCTGGCTCAATGGGTGGTCCCTGGGAGTCTTAAAAGCTTTTGAGCAGCCATCCAAGGCACAAGGAGTGTCTACTCATTCATCTGAAATAACAGAAAAATAGAGTCAAGAACAGAATATGGAATGTGGGGCAGCCTCCATGAGCAGCTGCCTCCTGTGCCGTGAGACCAGCACCACTGAATGGTGCCTGGCCACCACTACTGACTGTTTCGATCAAAGATTCCACTGAAGAATCCTGATCAAGAGGGGAAAATGCAGAGTAGAACTTCAAATCCTCAGGGACTCTAGCTTTTTGAGAGCCACGGAAGGTGGATGAATCCCCCTAAAGGCATTGCTCTTAGATAAATAACCTTTAAACCTAAATCAAAACCACCCCCTGAAATTTCCCTGGAAGCAAAGAACGGGTAAGTTAGCTTCGTTGGTAAATGGTCTGCCTTGAGCACTACTTGCTCTGGTATCTGCATGGCTACAAATGGACACCAGCAACTCCAAGGTTCCATAGGATGCTGGGGAGCGGGGGGAGGGTGTCACCACCACACGAGGAACTGGATTAAAGGGTCGAGATATGAGGAAGGTTGAGAACCACTTGCAGAGAAAGTGTCTCCAGGTACTTGCTGGCAAAGCTAAAGCTTTGTAACCATTGCCTGAGCAAGACAAGGCTCAGCCCGGCCCAAGAGGTCAAGAGGGCCAAGAGACAGGGAGCAAGCAGCCTGCTGGAGAACACAGCTGAGAAGCTATCCCGGCTGAAGCACTGCATCCTGAGTCACTCCTGATCCTGCCTGAAACGTGACCTTTAGCTTTTCTAGTAAACCCGTTACTCTGAGCGTGGTCTTGGAGTTCTGTGTGGAAGTGCCCTGGGAGGGACGGCGGTGTCAATGGGGCAAGGCGCTGGAGGGTGACGTGTGTCTGACCTCCACTTCAGAGCACTTCACTTTGAGTTGTTGATGCTGCCAAGACTCTCCTGCCCCACCCGCCCCACGCCTTGTGAGGTGAGAGGTCAGCCACACCATTTTCACCCAGCTCGACTAAGAAACAAAGGGCAAAAGATTCAAGCAGACACATCATAAAACAAAGTAAACTGATGGCCGTCAGTATGAGAGATGCGTAACGCCACTGCTTGACAGGAAAATGCAAATGGAGGCTGTGATAAAACCCCACTGCGAGCCTCATTGAAGAGTTGAAATTAAAAAGACTAGCCGTGGAGTCAGGCAGACTCCAGACACAAAACAGAACGAACACTTTATGATTCCCTTTATAGGACAGTCCAGGACAGGTGAGAACACAAGCCATGGACATCTGATATCGGGTGGATCCCGACTCACAGCTGCCCCCCACTCCGAACTGACCCTGGTTCCCAAGACTGCGGTAGAGTGTGGGCAACATGGGCGCAATGTCCCCCCAGAGCAAGACACAGAACCCTTCGCACCCCGCGGGAGAAAGACAGGTGAGCGGCTCCTGTCAAGACCCACGGCCTTGGACACTCTACTTGGCGTTGCTGTCGGTCGACTCAGTGACGGTGGGTTTGGTTTTCCACGTGTATCCGTGGAAAAACCCACAAGCAGCGGGTCGGACGGACCCGGCGGTACCACAGCTGAAAGGCCTGGCAACCTGCTTCTTTGAAGACGCCTGACCATCAGGAGCAGTGAGCAGCTGCGCTCGCACACCCGGGATCCCCTCGGGGCAACGTCGACTGGACCACGGCAGGTGTTTTGGCTGTACACCTGATCAAACTCTCTGAACGGTACAGGAAGATCTAGGTAGCTGCTTTCTATGTCAGATACACCTCAATAAAAGGGTGCTTTTCCGGGTAAAGCAACAACATAGTATCTCGTGGAAAGCTGGGTTTGTTTGTTCACTCAGGACGTGTCTCCTGGGACGACCAGGGTGCTGTGTTTTTACCCACCGCCCTGGTCAGCCACCTCCCGAGCCCAGCCCCAGGGAGCTCCCTGTGGGAAAGGGGAGCCGGGCTGGCTCCACTCAGGTCAGAAAGCAGCCAAGGCACTCACAGCAGACGCAATGACTCAGAGCCAGCCCCGAACACGCAGCCCTCCCTTTGCTGGGACGCCTGTGGGCACCACCACTGTGCAAGCCAAGCAGGTGGTCTCCCAGCACTGCCTGGGCTGCGGACAGGTAAGGGCGTCTTCCCTCACGTAGTGCGCTGCCTGCCCTGGCGCTGCATGTTGTCTCTTTAGCACCTCTCCCCCAGCCTGGGTGCTGGAGAGGGCGGGGGCGAATGCAATGCCAGAGGCCAAGCTGGCCTCGGGGCCTCAGCTTACCTCGTAGTCCTGCTCACTGCCGCCCCCGGCCGAGCTGCCCACCAACATCTCCACGAAGGCCGAACCGTCGTTCCCCAGGTCCACGCTGTGGATCCGTTCCTCCTTCTCCAGCTGTGGGGAGAGGCCAGCTCAGGGTCAGCGGGCCCCGGGAGAGCGAGAAAGCCACGCCAGGGCCCCTTGTCCCCTCGGAATGCCCAGTGCAGCCCTGGCAGCCAAACCCACCCCTGCCCTTCTCACAAGCCCCTCCAGACTCTTCTAGATCCCTCTCTTTACCACATCACCTGTGTGGCACTCTCCGTGGGAGAAATCAGCGAATATACCAGGTTTGGGTAAATCATCTCGCAAATGGCCCATCTGTTGCCCCGACCCCAACCACCCCCTCTGGGCAGGGTCCTGGTCCTGGTCTGACCACTACTGAATCCTGGGTTTCAACCCCAGCCCGGCCACATGCTGGCCATCAGGCCCCGTCAACTACCAGCTTCTTGGAGCCTCAGCTTCCTCAGCGGTGGGGGTGGGGGGGCCAGGAAGGTGATCGCCTCTGCTTTCTACAGGGCTGTCATGAGACACGTGGGTAGTCACACAGTAGTTATTAGGGGTTTCAGTTTATCCACACCCGGCTTGATGCCGAAAAAAGGTGTTTGAAGCCGTCTCTGGCTAGCAGGGGGCAGCAGGCAGGCTCTCTCAGCCACACCTGCGGGGTGCTTCCGAGAAACTCCCACTAAGAGCTGTGGCTTCTGAAGGGGGGGGTCTGCTGGGCCACTGAAGCAGGGAGGCCACTTCACAAGGTTGCGCCGTTTTTCTGGGATCCCCAAGGGGTGGTCATCTTGCTAATCTTTGCAGAGGTTACAAGACGAGACGATCACAGAGGTCTGGGGGAGAAGTTTCCAAGCCGCGACGGTGATTTAAAGAGGGCCAGGCATGAGCACTGTGCCACGGATGTTTTCCCGCCAGGACAGGGCGCCCAGAGCCCACCCCAGGCACCCTTCAGCCCTAGCTGGCTCCTTCACACTTCCTTTTGTTCCTCAGCCCAAAGACCAGCCTGAAGAACGAGTCCCTTTGGACGTGGTGGGGACGGAGCCGCACAGACTCCCGGGAAGGGCCGTGGCTGTTACAGTTCTGACACGCAGCGGCCAGAGGGACAACTGAACGGCGCACCCAGCAGCCCCCGAGATTGCTGTTTGAGCCACGGCTGCAGGCAGGGTGTCAGTCCACCCCAACCAAGGCCTTCATTTTTTGCTGCACCTCTACCTGGGAACGCAACCTTCAGAGGCGTATGGCCCACAAGTTCCCAAACTTATTCGGCTTACCACCCCCTTTTCCAGGGTGGGTGATCAAAATAAAAAAACTACTGGGCACTCCTGTGGCAGTTAAAACCTTTGGTGCTCTGGCCCACCATCTGGGATAAAGTGTAGGTATGTGCTGTTGCAGCCCTGCCTGGATTCTCCCAGCAGCCACCTGGGGGTGGTAGCGTCCACTTTGGGAAACCCTGGGGTAGCCCTGGATTGATGCACACAACAGCTGGTTCTTTTGACTGGCCCTAGGACAGGAAATCACGCCACTGAGGGCGGGGACGGCATGTCCTACCCACTGTTAGACGAGACTCAAACTAAATCCCACTGCCTTCCAGCCAGTCCCAACTCACAGCAACCTGACACGGGGCTTCCGAGACTGCAAATGTTGACAGGAGCAGAGCCTCATCTTTCTCCTGAGGAGTGGCTAGAGGGCTTGAACCACTGAGCTTGCGGTTAGTAGCGCTTACCTGGAAGTGCCTCCAATTAGTGGTTAAAAAGAGCCATCTTAAGTAGGGTTTCCCCAAAGGACCTGCCCTGCTGCCTGACAGACCAACAGAGCTGTGGCTGGCAGTGCTGGGGGCCAGGGACGGGTGGCAGAATCAAGTCCCCTGCCCTCGGTGTGGGGCTGTCTGGCTGGGAGTATAGAGCAGGGTGGGCAAACTGCAGCTCCCGAGCCAGATGCGGCTCTTTGGGTGGCTACACAGGGCTCTGAAGTAAAACGGAACAGTTTAAAAGGATGTTATTCAAGTAATGGTGATTTCGTGGGTTTGTAAAAAAATACAAATAATTCTCTAATTGTTGTGAGGGACAGGATTGGCTCTTCTGTCTCAAAAGTGTGCTGACCCCCGTTCTAGGACATCACATTACCATGGCCCCCAAAGGTCCTTCATCCCCCAGTCCACGCGCTCACCCCTGACCACCGGTCCCATCTGCTCCACAACCATCACCTGCATGCTGTCAGACAGAAGGCCCTCTACCCAGGGGGCTACACTTGGGGGTGAAGCAAGCCTGAGTCCAATCCCGGGCGACACTCCCAGCTTCTCATGGTCAGCGTCCTCACGTGTGAAAGGGAAGGGTGGTCACAAAAGCCCTCCGTGTGGACGGAGCCCAGATGACAGACACCAAGGCCTCGGCCATGGTCAGGCAGGCGCTGTGCCCACCTCCCTTGACACCCGAGCATCTGACCCAGGTGGCAGGAAACAGGTGACTTCCCCCAAAGTCACACACTGCTGGTGGCTAACAGAGCGGGACCCAGGCAGGCGGGCTGCAGTGCCCACACTCCATGTCCGCAGAATTTTCTAGAAACGACGCTGAGCCCCGCCAGCCTCCGGGCGACTCCCTCTGGCTTCCTTTCCGGCTCCCTCAGTGCCTTCCCACCTGCCACTCCCCGCACCTGGAACACCTCTCCCCACCACACGGCCCAGGACGTGCGCCTGCCACGGTATAACCCACCGTGGCCTCTTCCCTCACGCAGCCCCAGCCCCGCTCACTCCGGTGTCGGCAATGTCACTGCTGGATGGGGCAGGTTGTGAGACAGTGACCGCATGTGTGCGTGGCTCGGCTCACCCTCCGTTTGCTTTCATGACGTCTTATTGTTTGGGGTGAAGGTATGCCCGGCAGCCATCTTTCCACGAGTCGCGAGCGTGGCCACGCTCAGGGTTTCCACTCCGGCCGCTCTGCTTCAAGTCTCCTCTCCCTGAGCATCTCAACTTGGTTTTGAAGTTCACTCCTGGCCATGCGGTCTCCCCCAGGGGTGGGTTTTGTTGAAAGGTGCACGGTACTCACAGGTGATCACCTTTGGGCGCCAAGCTGACTCCAGGGGCTCCTTTCGGTTTTAAGTCTTAAAGAGAACTTGGCAACAGTCTCGCTCGGTGCTCCAGTTTCAACCAGACGGTGGGTCTGGGGCTTTGTGCTGCTTGTTCCTTTATAGGGGTTCTGCTTCACACGCTCCTCCCCTCTCTCAGGACCCACCCATGACGGCCTTGATCACAGTGGTGGGTGGGAGTGGGAGCCAAAGCCCGGACACTACTCATCAGACAAGGAAATAGAACACACACTCCGTGGACTATACTTACTATACCAGCTCTGGTCCTAACCCTTCAAACCCACAACTCCAAAACCATGAGCTATTCAAGAAACATCTAAAATTGTGCCCCCGTGTGCTTGGTTGTATATGTGTGTGTGTGTGTATACACAGGGATATATGTGCCTATGCCACACGGGTGCACACATGTGCATACATCTATACAGATACATCACAAGGTGCCCTGGTGGCATGGGGTTAACTGTAAGGAGGGTACTTCACACCTACCACTTGCTCCTCAGGAGACACAGAGGCTGTTGGTTCCCACAGAGCATTATAGCCTTGGAAACCCTTAAAACAATGGTTCTCAACCTGGGGTCACAGCCCCTTCGGGGGGGCTGAGTGACCCTTTCACAGGGATTGCCTGATTCTTAACAGTAGCAAAACGACAGTGATGAAGTAGCAATGAAAATAATTGTGTGTGTGTGTGTTACAATCTGTCAGCTATTCTTTTTTGTTTTTTTAAATCATTTTATTGGGGGCTCATACAACTCTAATCACAATCCATCCATCCATCCACTGTGCCAAGCACATTGGTACATTTGTTGCCATCATCATCATTCTTAAAACATTTGCTTTCTACTTGAGCCCTTAATATCAGCTCATTTTTCCCGAAAATAATCTTGTGGCTGGGGGGTCACGACCAACTGAGGAACTGTAGTGAAGGGTCTCGCATTAGGAAGGCTGAGAGCCACGGCCTTGAAAGCAGTGCTACCCTGTGCCATTTAACGGCATGACATATACACACACACACACACACACACACACACACACACACACACACCTACCTTTAGGTCTCGTCCACTACATTTTAATTGTTTAGTTTCCCGGTCCCCTCACCGGCAGGTAGCTGGTGGGCGTTTCGGTACCACCGTTCACCGACACGGAGCCGTGTGCCCTCCCCCTCACTCAGGGTCGTCTATAAACGAACAAGGGCTTTCCTTGTTCAACGTCCATGTCTGCATACTTGCTTGTTCAGGTCACTTCATAGACGTGAGAACACAGAGCGCCTGTTTGGGGGGCGGGGGAATGTGACTCACTTGGCTTCATGCCACACTCGGGTCCACACACGGTCCACCATGTTTTGGGAACTCATTTCTCCCCACTGCACGCCGACGATCCCTGGAGCAGGGCAAGATCTGAGTCCCGTTCTGCTGTGTCCTCCGCGCGGTAGTGCCTGGTCCTTCCGGCTCAGCTGACTGGCTGGGCAGATCCTGGAGCAGAGGGCTCAGCTTCACCCCGCACACCTTACTTTCCTCGCCTATAAAATGCTGACAGCCAGTTCCTTGCTGGGAACAGTAGGCAAGGCCCGTACACACAGTCTCATGAGCACACTCCGCCAGGTCAGCTCATGCCCCGGCAGCACACACAGTGGCGTCCCGGGTGGTGTGGGCGGCTGACCCTCATGGCTGCTGCCAGAGGGCTGGCAGTGTGAGCCCACCCAGAGGTGCCTTGGACGAAAGGTGATCTACACTCCCAAAGCAGGAAAGCACTGTTGGTGTCATCTGATGGGGCTTGGCTGGAGGCAGAGAACCCCAGGAAGAGGCTTACTTGTGCTCCATTGATTACACAGAGGTAGCCAATCATGTGGGCCAAGGGTCCTCAAACCGCAGCTCGCCGGGTGTTTTTGCCACCGCTGCCTGTCCTGCTTAGCAGCCAACTCGTCCAGTGAGCACAGGAATTTATTCATAGTTTTTTTTTAAACTATAGTCCGGCCCTCCAACGGTCTGAGGGAC